CATTGAATTTAGAAGAAAAATGAATGATTTGTCAGTGGGTAAAAAACTTAAAGCTCCCTGATGGATATGCATCTAATCTTGCCGATGTGTGGACATGAAGGAAGCAAAGTTGTATGGAATGAAAAGTCATGATTGTCATGTGTTCATGGAACGCTTGCTTCCAATTGCTTTTGCTTGTTTGCCTGAAGTTGTTTGGAATCCTATAGTGGAGCTTAGTCAATTTTTCACACAACTTTGTTCCACTGCGTTGATGATAGATCAATTAGAGATATTAGAGCAAAATATTATTTTGACATTATGCAAGTTAGAGAAAGTCTTTCCCCCAGGGTTCTTTGACTCAATAGAGCATTTACCTATCCACCTTTCCTATGAAGCTAAGGTTGGAGGACCTGTTCAATATCGATGGATGTATCTATGTAAAAGGTAACTGTTCCTACTTTTTCAGTAATGCATGAAATGTATGATAAGTTGAATAATTAATCTTAGTTCTCACTTTTTTATATGTAGGTTTCTCTATAGCTTAAAACAAAAGGTGAGGAATAAATCTCGAGTTGAAGCATCTATATGTGAGGCTTACATAATTGAGGAGACAACAATGTTTTGCTCGCATTACTTTGAGCCAAGTGTTCCTCCAAGAATAACAAGACCTATAAGAAATGATGATGGTAGAGAATTAGATTTGCCAGTAATTTCTATATTTAATTATTAAGGAAGACCTTCTGGGGAATGTAACTCCCATTTCATGGAGGATGAAGAAGTCAAAGCTACCATAAGATATGTGTTAATGAATTGTGATGAGGTGCAACCTTATATGAAGTAAGTGATGTTAAAAGTAAATGAAACCTTATATAACATATATGCATGAATAACATATCACTTTTCACATGCAGTTCTTTCATACAAACATTAAAGGAAGAGAACCCTCAAATTACGAACAAAGAGATAAACTCCCAAATTAATGATAAATTTTCAACATGATTTAAACATCATGTAAGTATTAAATTCTTTTATAACCTACAACAAAACTTATTTGGCATAGTATTGACTGTTAGTGTTATGCAGGTTCGAAACCCTGCTAATAATATTGTGGATTCATTTTTGCATGACATTGCTTGGGGCCCAAAGAGAAGCATGAGAACATGGCCTATGTACTTTGTCAATGGGTATAAGTTTCATATAGCTTCCTTGGACCATAAAAAATAACAACAAATAGTGGGGTGTGTATTAAGGGAACCAACTATGTAGAATCAAAACATGAATTTTATGGCATTCTTCAAGAGATTATGGAGATTGATTATGTGGGTTGCCCTGTGAAGAGATTAGTGTTATTTAAATGTGAGTGGTTTGATCCAACACCAAATCGTGGTACAAGGGTCTATCAACAATATGGGACTGTTGAAGTCCATGAATCACAAAGGTACTACAAGTATGATCCATTCATTTTTTCCCAGTAAGCAAAGCAAGTGTACTACACGTCTCATCCTTGTTGTTGTAAGAAAGCTAATTGGTTAGTTGTTATTAATACTAAGGCATGTAGTATAATTGAGACTCCTGTATCTGAAATAACTACAAGAGCATTTCAAGTGGATAGACTAGAAGTCATACTACCAATAATTGTTCTTGATGATGATGAATTGAATAACCAAATAGTCTTTGTGGTTCGTTATGAAGAAGCAAGTAGATGTGCCAACTAATAATATGGTTTATGAAGAAGAAGAAGATGATGAAGAGGAGGAGGAGGAGGATGACAATGAGGACGAGGACGAGGACACAAAAGATAGTAAGGAAGATTCTCATATGGATGAAGATGAAGATGATACATAAATTATAGTGATATTTTTTTCTTATTTAATTGCGTATGATTTTGATTGCATTGATTTACTTTTTATTGAGATTTATTTTGTGATGATTATTTATTATTACTAACTCAAGGTTCTTGAATACGTAGATAGTAGGTCGTGGTTTAAAGCGTGATAGAGCAAACTTGATCACTTCACCTCCAATTATAAATGAAGAACTTAGCAGACCCTCATTGTCACCTTTATTATCTCCAATGATGACTCAATCTGATAGTAGACCCTCATTATCACCTAGTGCATCATCTCCTCAGATCCCATCTCTTGGAACTGAAAACTTGTGTCCCCCTACTCCATAGGCCCCTCCTACTAGTTTTTCACCATCGGGTTATGATTTCTCAGGTGGTCGAACATGGATATATCCTAAAAAGAAAATGAAAGTCGTTATCAAGGTTATATTATTTTATATCTTTATTTAGTTTATTAAAGCCATTTTAACAACATTTATAATGAATTTTTTTACAAAATTGTAATTAGGTTTAATCCTGCTGTTGCTACTGTACGAAATATTCTTCCTCTTATTCAAGAAAAATTTGATCATCCATGTTCTAGCTGGAAAGCAACACCCCCTGAGTACTAAAAAATGTGATTTAATGAATGGACGGTGAATCTTATATCTAATTATTTATGTTTTCAATTTTTTTCTCTCATTATGTTTACTTTATTTTTTTTGTTACTCATTTATGCAGAAAAAATATAAATGGTTGCCACAGTATGATGATGCCATTAAGAAAATTTGGAATACAAAGTGTGCAGAAATTTTAAGAAATACAATGAATACTGTCAGGTAAGACTTTTATCAAAAACAAGTTAAAGCTAAATGGATTCCACATCAAGTGATTGATGAGTTAGACAAAATATGGGCATCAAAAGATTATAAGGTCCAATGTGAGATTGCTAAAGCCAATCAAGCCTCAACCACAAGAGGCACTCAACACAAAGGTGGGAGTATTCCTAATACTGAGCATAAGAGGAAGCCGGTAAGAATTTATCTTCAACTTAAATCATTATTTGTTTAATGCATGTCTAATACATACTCGTGAATAATTTCAGGCTCTGGAGTTTAGGAAGAGACCCTACTGTGTTTGAACTATTCAAGAGGACGCATTTAAATGATAAAACCGAAAAATTTACGGATCAACGAGCAAAATTAGCTCATGTGAGTATATGTTTCTAATGTTTGTCATATTGGATCTGAACTTATGCTAACAACAGGAGGCCTGGCTAGTTGTAGTGTGTGTCTTATTGAATGTCAGTCATATTAAATCATTTGGATTGTGTTGACTGTTGAAAGCTAACTAGTGTTAGGCTTCAAATCTATTGCTTCTGACTTGTTGGAAGTTATAGAACTTATACACATATTATTCTCCAATCTACTTTGCTTTGTTGTTGAATTTGGGTTACATTTGCATACTATTCAATCCAATAGAATTGGTAAATGTCATCATTTGCTATAGAAATTAGTGAATTATGGTATCCTTTCTTATTCTTGGTACAATTTTATTTTTGAAAATTGGTTTTTCTAAATGTCACTCTTATTCCTATAGATTTAACTTGTTCTGGATTTATTTTTTTGAAGTTGGGATTAAGTTGACAAGGATCTTGCCATAAATACACACACACACACACACACACACATATAAACACATGAGGCATTCATATTTTGCTGCACCAATTTGCTAGAAGAAAAATTTATAGTTTTAAATTGAACATGTCTTGAAATTCATTACTAAATCAACATGTGTTCTGGGATAACCTTCAACATGTGTCATGGCATCAAATTTATTTTTTTTTTCCATTCCATCATACAAAAGTGGGATATTTTTATTTCTTTGTTATTAATTATGGTTTTGCTTAACATAACTACTAAATTTTTATTATGTCATGATGAATTTTTTTTTTTTTTAGTGATGCATGATTGTGAATTCTTATTTAAATAAAACATACACTTATCTCATATGCTCCTATTACCTTTTGTTTTATAGGATGAGTTCATAAGGAGAAAGGTAGAATTAAGTTCTGAGGGAGGCTCTCCAAGTGTGCAATCTAATCAGGAAGAATTTAATATATGGTTAGAGGTTATAGGTAGCAAGAACAAGAAGGGCCACATCTATGGATTCGGATCTGAGGCAAATGATGATATTTGTGCTCCTCAGGGATCTTCTCCTTCCATTAATAGCACCAGCATCAATCCTACTATTGAAACTGAATTACACACGAGCATAATAGAGCTTACACAAGAGAATCAACAAATTAAACAAGAGCATGAAGAGATGAAACAAAATTACAGCAAAATCATGTCTGCATTGGAGGGAATGGGAATTAGATTATCTGAGCCATCTAGCAACAATATAAATTTAGAAAATGACACTTGAGGGTCATTATTATTAGACAATTTGGGTTATTATGTATGTTTTTTAGTTGTTGACATTTGACATTTTATATATCCAGGATCTTGAGACTATATATTTTTAATTACAATGTGCTTGATTTTCAACAAATTCAATTGCCTTTTACTTCCTCTTGACAAACTAAACAGTTAATCAAAATAAAACAATATAATATAAGAAAACCAATAAAAAATAGAATTAGGAATTACTCAAGGAATATTCCGTGGCAAATTAGCCATGGAATTTCTGACAGAATATTCTATGGTAGATCAGCCACGGAATTTGCCACAGAATATTCCATGGCAGATGAGCCACGAAATTTTTGACAGAATATTTTGTGGATGACATACCACGGAATACTCCGTCAAAAATTCTATAGCTAATCTGTCACTGAATATTCCATTGTAAAACTACTGATGGAAACTATCCGTTGCAAATCCGTTGGTAATTACTGATAGAATTTCTGTCAGAAATTACTGAAGGAATTTCAGATTCTGTCACAAATGAAATTAATGACGAAAAAATTTCTGACAAAATGATTTTCGTCAGAAATTCTTTCGGTAATCTCATTCCATTGCAAATCCGTCACAAATTCTGTCAGTAATTTTGTATTCCGTTGCTAATTCCATCAGTAATTGGGTTTTTTTTTGTAGTGATCATGGATACCACTCGGTATGCTAAATGCAGCTGAAAACACTCCAGTGGCAATAAGAGTTGAAACAACCATACAAGAGTTTGCAGTTCTCTTCATCCATCACTCAGTATGCTTTCTCAATGATGTGTGCTCCTTGGTGGACAACTCTCGAGAAGTTTCACCATTTGAGTTCTTCATATTCACATATGATGGTAACACTATTTTCCTCACTTCCTACAACGTCAAAAGATTGTTAAAAAATTAATTAATGTATATGTTCTAGCCATGGGATCATATAAAGCATATCATGTTATATAAGTAAGACACATACCTCAAACCATAATAGTTCAAACTTCATTTGAAAAGCTGCCCCAGAGACCAATTCAAGTCGATCAACTGGTGCTAACTTTACAGCCAAATGTAATATATTGTTTCCATCATCTTTGTCTAGATATGACAATATGATATCCTTATTTGCACTTATATCACGGATGAGATTGAAGATATTAGGATGACGATGTGAAACAACAATGTGAATTATGCTTCGCTTTTGGCTGTCCAACTCCCATACCAAATCAGGGTACGATCTCAGAAGCTTGGCTAAGAAATCAAAATTTCCAACTTTTGCAGCATCAAATAATAGTCGTGATGGCTCATTTATGATCTTTCTTATATCTTGCTCTGAGTTTACAAGCTTAAGAATCCCTAGTCAGAGGGAATGAACAAGTTGAAGAGCAACACCGTTCTTCATCCCTAGGATATATGTTGATGATTTGAATTAGTTGATGTTGGCCAATATGTTGGGGCAGTCTGTGATTTTAGCCATAATGTACACACTAAATGTAATGATTATTAGAAAAACATATTGATACGTATAGCAAGTGTTAAGACTAATTTTCTAGTCTTTGTAACAAGTAATTACAGTGACTAATTATCACCTAAACTTATTAGTTGATTCTAACGTCTTAGACCATGATGACCCGAATCTGTTGTCTTCTAAGCCATGATATGCAAACCTGTCAGACCTTGTTCAGTTGTTGCTGATGCAAGTTCTGGCTTATCTCCCAACATTTTCAACGCTAAACCTAAGAAATTTCAAAATATAGTCAAGAAACGCATAAATAGATGCTAAAAATAGATGCTGTCACACAATTTAATAAGCAATATATATATATATATATATCAAGCTAAGAAACTTTGCATAACAGGTTTTGTTTTGTATATTTAGTATGCATCAAATATGAACTTACCATAAATACCAGTGTCGATGCAAGTGAGGAATAACTTATTCCACTCTACTTCATCGAAGTTTTCGATAGTCTTAGGATACAAATACCGTGCCATATCAGCTCTTCCTTGCTGCGCCACAAAAAAAAGAGGAGTGAAACCATTTCCACCTCTAATTTCTGGCAAGAAAGAGTTCTTTTCCCACATTAACTTAACAATATCCAAGCTTCCTGCTGCTGCAGCAAAGCAGAAGGCAGTGTTCCCCCTAGAGTTTTGTAAATCCAAGTCATTCTTGTCCATCAAGTTCACAAGCTCTTTCACAAAGTGAAAATGGCCAGCTCCTGCTGCTACATGAAGTGCTGTTGGATATCCTTTTGCTATGGCAGCATTCACTAGCATTCTGTTATGATCTAACAACATGGGCTTGGCTTTCTCCCAATTGCCTTCTAATGCATATTTGTAAAGAGGCACGCATAAATCTGGCCTCCCCTGAAATAAAGTTGAAATTTTTCGGTTTTTTGTTTGATCGGCTTTAACTTGAGTGATGTAGAAGAGTAATTAATCTTGCATAGATTTCTAACCCTCATGGCGTATCCATTGGAATAATAAGTTTTCTGTTAGACTAGAAGTTTGGATAATGAGCCAAGTTTTGAGAGTTCACCAAGAACATAACAAGCCTCACTGTTCAAAAAGTATTTGCAAATTACGTACCATCAAGATCCTAATTTTAGAAATAAGACTTGAAACCAAGATGTCATGAGATATGAGCCAACAAGTATTAACAAATGTGCCAGTCTGTATTTGATATTGGAACAACGTTTGCTCATAATTCGGGGGAGAAAGTCATTTGCAAGAAGGAAAAAAAACACCAAGAAACAATGGGAAAATTAATAGAGAAATTGCTTCTTTTTGTCCTATTTAAGTCTAGCAATTTTGAAGAAAGAAGCCCATATTCATCAATGGCCAGCCACCTAACTATATATGGAATTACATGCATTTATACTTTATTAGGTAAGAGGACTCCTTCATTTTCCTCACCGCAATTGAATCAAAATTGGGAAAAATTAACAGGAACCACAAATAAGTGAACACATCAGTTTTTTTTTTTTTTTAAAGAGATTTTATCAGGGAGATTGGAGAGAGTAGTTACTTGTATGCTCCAAAAGATGAAGGGAAGGCCTCCTAAAATTAGCTGAATCAACCCTCCGTATAAATTGGATGTGATCAGGCCCTTCAGGAATACCCATTGGATGTTCATTTGGCGCATCCATTTATCTGCAAAACCATACACATTAACACTCCTGCAGCTTTCTATGCATTTTCCGGTTTAGTTTTTCCACCAAAAATTGTGGATCACAAGCCTGGTACATTCACATCGAATACAAGAATAATTGTACTGCTCATTATTTATAAATATTTCGTGATCATAACTTTCGCATATACTCTAGATATTTTGTAAGAAGCTCGAGATAAGTTATACTGTTTATGGCTTATCAACTTCTAAAAATATATGATATCGATATATAATAAAAATGTAAAGAAACAAAGCACTTTAGTACTCTATAGATATTTTATATATTATGATTAAATAAATGCTTATATTTCTATTGATATAAAATATGCTTATATTAAGACTTATGATAATTATTATGAGAAATAGTGTTATTTTTTAAATTCTAAATGAGTTAATAAAGTAAACGAGACACAATTGCTTTCACAGTTCGCAGACACTATGATAAGGATATTGGGATGAATTATTCATTTATTGATGATGACAAATTAAATAATTGTGTTGACGTTGAAATTAAGCCATTTCAAGGAAGCAGCTTCGGTCCCACTGATAGCTTCCGAGCCAATAGTTTTTTGTGGTTGAGCATTATTATATCTTATTGGTGGAGACATCTCTTCCTCCAAAATATTAATTTCATCCAAAAATGCTCGTTACCAAATTGTTCCATGGATATATATATTCGCTATATTCTAAACATAAGAGTTAAAAATTAATTAATTTACAAAATAAGAAAAATAATTATATTTATAAAAAAGTATTGTTAATTTTCTTAAAATATCTCCTTTAATCCTTTTTTCTCCAACAAAATATTTCCTTTAATCATTTGCACTAGAAACAATCCCTATTGATGAAACTTCCGTTAGAGACACAATATGGGGAAAAATTATAAATTTGAAGGACAAAGTAAATTAAAGTCTTATATTTAAAATTAAAGCAAACATTTCTGCTAACTCATACATTTAGGATATTGTTTTAAAACAAAACTCATTCATTTAAGACTACAGGAACTATTACATATAAACTTAAAAAATTTAAATAATTTAATCATCAAGTATTAATAAGTCATGTATTTCCTTGAATAAAAAAAAATCTGCATAATCTGGGAAAAAATTATACCTGGTTGTCGATGGAAAGAGGAAATCTTCCTCTTATGGCACTTGCCTATGACAAACCAGCTTCTTTAATCAAACGGTTAGTTTCCTGAAGGGGAAGATATTAGAATATTAACGAATGTTGGATTGTATGCATGGAAAATAAGATTTAAATGATTTGAATCATATTTGAAGAGAGGAGTTGGCGCCATCCTTAATGAAATTATAAAGGTAAACCAGAAAGAAGAAATAGTAGAATCAATGAACTTATAAGGAAAACATTAACTGAGGAATACAGACACCAATCACAGAAGAAGAAGATGAAGATGATGCAATATGTGTAAATGAAGGATATAGAGAAAGAAGACGGTTAGAAAGAGGTCTTATTTTACCTTATGGAATCGCTTTCTCATATTTGTTCTTTGCTTGTAGAGTGAGATTGCTTGATCCTTTTGGAGTGAGATAAAATTACTGTAAGGTTGCTTCTGCAAAGCAAGCCTGCGGATTCTGTGGGGGTGAAAGCTATTACTGAACCAACTAAGAAATACAGTGATGGGAGAGAACTTGCGAGGGAAGTTCTTCTTCGTCAATGTGAAGTATTGAGTCAATTCAAGTGATTATACTATTAAACAACATACAGATTTAGAGACCGACTCACAACATTATGTTTCAATCCCTATCATCTATTTAAATACTATGAATTGAAGTAATCAAATTTCTTGCCCTTGCCGATAGTAATTAATGAAGAATCGACTTCTGCTTCTATCTATTATACTAGCTAAAAACCAGACATTAGGTATTATCATAATTGGAAAGCTCAATTTAGACCAATATGTTGAGTTCAGCGAAGAGGACCGGTCCCTTCTAACTTTGACAAATCAATATTTGAATTTCTATTGGAAAAAGTGTCCATATTTAGTATCCAATAATATTTTAAATAGGATAAATTTTAATAAAAGAATAGCTATGCATAACAAAAAAAAGCTAAATTAAAAGAAAAAAACTATACAGGGTTTTATGCTCAACTCGGTCTAGTTAATCGGGTTTGGAAAAAAAAAATTGCATAAATTTAATACGTAGAAGAGTTTATGGGCTACAGCTCTATCAGCCCGGTCCCGTATGGGTAAGACAGTCCATTTTGATAGCTCTGCATGAGATAGCAGAACCCAAAAAAATAAAGTGAAAACTGAAAAGAAATAAAGGATGTTTGAGATTTTAGTTAAAATAGCACCAGAGTCTGTTCAAGATCTGTTTAATTTATCTTTTTTTTCTTTTGAAACAGAAAAAATATAGGGAAACAAAATCATGAACGTTCAAATATCATTTTTGCATACTTTAAAACATCAGAGCAGCCAATGGAATAAAATATTTAATGGAAGCAATAGGGACAGGTGAAGAATTGAAAGGCTCGAGGAGTGGGCGAGGCACGCGTACACGATTTTATTTTCCTTTTTTTAAAAAAAAAATTAAAAGAACAGACACAGACCACTTGAGATTTTAAGCGAGATTAAAATAGAGGTTTGTTAATGTGACTAGGCCACAAGGTCTTTGACGATTTTATTTTCTTTTGAAGGGCAAATTATAAATTCTTCACACAAGACAAGAGCATGAATTCTAGCAGCAGCCATGCAATGAATGGCACCAGTCAGTGTAACCCCAAAAAAAAAAAATTCAAGAGGAAACAAGGACAATGTACGGCAGGCATGCAGTCTATCTGACATTTCCACAAACACTTGGGCATCAAAGTGAGTCTCCAAGGTGAAAAAATGTAACCAAAATTCTAAAACTGAAATAATGATTTTTTTTATAAGACGGCAAAATGTATTAATATAAATAAATAAAAGGTAAAGAGTCAATACAGCCATGAATTAAATGGGACGGTTATCGGTTAAAACATTAGGATTAATAATTAATAAGTTCATTTGAAAAACAATTTAAAGAAAACACTTTCTAAACCCGTTGTCATTGGGCCATTCCACAGTAAATTTTGTCATTTGCATATTTTGGTCGTTCATGTATACATGTCATAGTCCCCTTTTTTATTTATAAAGTGACTTTAAACCCTATAAACTTCTTTGGTGTTGTCAAGTTGATTGCCATTAGCTGCAAATTGGAATTGCACGCCACTCTAAGATATTTGTGGCCAAGTATTTTGTAACACTCCAAATTTTCTGATTAGAAAAAGCATAAATAAGAAAATTTATTTAAAATTACTTAGTGCTTCAAAAAATTGGGGGACAATATAAAATATGAATTTTGAAGACTTAGAAATATTTTGGAAAATTTTATTCCCCAAAAAGTGGCTTAAATAATTTTAAATTTATTTTTAGAGCAAAAATGGTTTAGTTTCTTAGAAAATTTTAAGAAAAATACTTAGAGATTTCTAACTAATCTGAAAATTTTAGAGAAACTGTTTTAGACAATAAAGAAGCTAATTGTGGCATAAAATCCTTAATGTGAGATGAGGATTAACTTCAAGAATTAAGGGTTGTTTTCTTAGAAAATTCAAGAAAAATGGCTAGAAGTCAACTTTTGACCTGAAATTTTTTTAAAAAATTATCTTATGGGTCAAAGAAGTTAATGGATATAAATCCATATAAAATATTATGGATTGATTTTTGGGGTTAACTTATAATTTCAGAATTATAGAGGAACGATGAAATTGAAAGAAAGCATTAAGTGTAAGGACAAAACATCAGATGACACCCTCTTCCTCCTCATTTTCGTTCTGCCACTTGAAAGAAAAGGGAGAGAAAGTCGAGAGAGAGACTAGAGGAAACGAGAGTGACGGATGTAAGAAAATGGGCCAGTCCACCCTTGGTGGATTGGACCCAAGCCCAGCATCATTTGGGGTCCTGGTATAAATTACAAAACATATGGGTCCCTAACTGCAGTTTTAGCCTTTTTTTATATGACATGCAAAATGGGGGGAATGGTTAGACTAAGGAGGCGGTTTATTAATTTCAAACGTGTGGAGTTACGTAACTGATCCAAGCGGGATCATTTTGAGTAATGCG